ACCTGATCTTTTAGGGAAGAGCTTGAAGATCACTGTGAAACTGAGGACTGGAGTGCCTGATACTGTAGATACACTTTGTACCAAGGAAACTGCATTTATCTGCAGGTCTCTTGTCAATTAGCCAGTAAGTTTAGAGAAGTAATCTGTTAGACCTGTGTTTCAGCTTCAAGTAGCTATCTTCCATATGCAACCAAATCTAACATGGGGCACTCTGATGTTATCCATACAGTGAGGAATGGAAGTAGTTGCACCTCATCAGCATCTTCTCCCAGGCAACCAGCAACAGGACGAGAGGCCACAGTCTTAAGCTGCACAAGGGGAAGTTTAAGCTAGGCATTAGAAAAATGTTTTTCACAGAAAGAGTGGTTCAGCATTGTAATGGGCTCCAGGGAGGTGGTGGAGTCACCATCCCTGGAGGTGTTTAAAAAAAAATGGATGTGGAACTTAATGCCATGGTTTAGTTGATAAGGTGGTGTTAGGTCATAGGTTGAACTTGACTATCTCAAAGGTCTTTTCCAACCTTATTAATTCTGTGATTCTGTGTACCTGAATCCATGGCATCTGACCAGCAAACCCGAAGGCTACATGCAGCTTCTGAGAACAGCTTTGAGTGGCTGCATTTGAGGCATCTAGAAAAGGATGTTTTCCAGTGTAATTCAAAGGATGTACCCCCTCTACCATAATAGCAAGTCTGTGGCTTTGGTCCCAGCCACCAATTACAGATGAAATCATAACATGGCAACACAGCTGAGTGCTGTGGGAAATTAAGGAGGTTGAAAATCAAAGTCTTTGCTTCTCTTTTTGACAGAAAGAGATCATCCATCTAGACTTTACAACTTTGCTTATATTCAGGTTCTTTCCATCACTATTGCCCTATTTTGGACCAGGAAATGAGGAGGGTGCTTTTCTCTAAAGATTAGTTTTCCTCAGAATGAGCACCAGTACTTTTGTGGCTCATTTAAGAGGCCAAAGTTGTACGAATCACAGATTTGGAGACTTGACTAATTGCTGAACCAGCATGTTAAATGCAGGCAAACATGGCTTCCAGTGTAGTAGATCTGGATCCGGTGTCCAAGAGGATTGGGACTGCACCAGGGTCTGTGAGGTTATGGACAGAGCTGTGGTCAACCTAAGCTTCTGGCTAGTCTTCCCTCATAGAGAGTAGCCCTGATCTTGATGTTTCATCACAAGCATGCAAGTTGTCTGCTACCTTCCTGCTTAGTTTTGATGTAGACTCTGCTTTCAGCATTGGTGAATCAGCATGACCCCAGCATCTTCTTTAAGGTTCAGCATGTGTTCTACAGCTCTAGAGCAAGTTTGAGGGTGTTCTCATCTGTCTGAATTAGTTCTTATTCTTTGCTGTGACCACACAAGATCTTCAACTCCTTCATCTGGTCCAAGATGTCAAAGAAGCAAGACAAAAATGGGTAATGGGAAAGAAAAGGTCACTGGGAAACCGTTGCACCAAAGGCTAAAGCAAGTATGTAATACTCAAGGAAATGATCCTTGGGTCTAGATATTGAAGTAAAAGGAGATTTAAATTCAGTCCCTCCCTTTGCCTCTAGGCCTACCTACATGTTCTCTTCATAGAAAAGCTGGCAATGTCAGCTTAAGAAGTTCCCACCCCCTCACCACAGATATGAATGAATTAAAATGAACTTGTCTTACCTGAAGTGTTCCTTTTAGCTTTGAAGTTAAGATGAAGGGAGGGCTGCTGTCTTGCCTAGCTCTGTGTTGCTCAGACCCACGGCCTGTCTTATCTCAGAAGACTATCAGTAAGTGGAATCATTTTAGTAATTCAGTTTTGCATGATTCCACAAGCAGACGTAGCTGCACAAATTAGGCCTGATAAACTGAAGCATGTACATTAGAAAAAAAAGGAATCAGTTAAATGGAAACTTTTAAAGTGCTTTGTTATAAAGAAAACATGCATATTTAGATCTCTGTTTTGTCACTTTACCTTCTAAGGTCTCAGTGTTATGGCTGTAAAGTGATCAGGGGAATCAGCTTTTAATGTTTTGTCCTTTGATTTTACAGCAAGTTCTTATAGGTTAAGTTAATAATTCTGGTATTTCTGCCCCAACAGAAATTAAACTTGTAAGACACTCTGATACTCTCATTTGTTGTCGGTTCTTTAGAGTTCAATTTAGCCTTTCCATTTGAAACTAAGCTATCTCTTTTTTTACATATGCTATTTTGTGTTTGCTTTGCTTTATTTTTAGCAAAATTGCAGCTGGCTCTTAGTCTGATGCACTGTGGTTTCTTCTGGTGAAATTCCAAGAAAGGAAGCCTTGGGGACAGAGAGCTACAGTCCTTCCAGTCTTTGAAGTGTTTTCGCATGGATCTCACCCATTCTGCAAGGAGACTGAAGCCTTTTAGTCCAGATCAAAATTTCCAGTACTTGTTTGCCCCTTAGCTTTATTAAATCTTCTTTATGTCTTGGCCTACATAAAAGTGAGCTCTCCCAGACATATGAATTTTCTTTTCCTTTCTCCACTGAGTTTCAAAGTCAGGTAGATGTGTCTTGCTGACCCTGGTTATTGACACCAGGGAGCTGTGAACTCCAAGAACAAGCACAGAAAGGAATAGTGCCAGCGAAGAATCTTGCACTGCTATAGGTTGTAAAAAAATCCCTGCATAAGTGTCCCAAAATCAACCGTGCAAAGATTTCATCTGTTCCTCAGCCTGTTGGTTTGTGCTTTCTGCCTTGATAAGATCTTAAAACTTTGCTCATTGTGGTTTTATTCATGATCAGCTAATGGACTAAGTGGACTTCTAGGGCTCATCTTCTTCAGGGACTGACTTCCATAGGGTCTGCTGCTGTGGTGTAACCCTGCAGTAAATGCATGCAAGGCACCAAGCCCATGTTTGCAGGAGAGTACTAATACACATCACAAGGAATTTTCCATTGCTGGGGACCTTCTCTGCCCTTTCTCTGTACAGGCTTCATTTTAAAACATTGTTGTCTGCATTGACCAAAAATACTTTTCCCAAGGGTCACTCTTTTTTCTTATTAGTGGGGTTTTATTTGATTTGTTGTCTGCTCCACACACGGTTCAGAGATCAGGAAGGAAATTGCACAGGGCTGAAACAGGCAAGTTCATGCATCAGCAATGGACTGTAGACAGCTGGTGCCATTCATACCTACATGGCCAGGTGGAGGGGCTACCTGGTTTGCAGAGATGTAGTTAATTCAGTCCTGGGTAGCTTGGTCACCTGGCTGGGACTACCAACAACACCCCATGGACGGGTGAAGGCAGCCTGTGCTCGCATACATTTTTCATGTGCAGCACAGAACAGCACGTATTTCAAGATGCTTTGTTTTCTAGGTGTTTAAAGTACTTGGCTCATCTTTCTCCAGGCTTGACTGATTCTGGTTACCAGCCATGCAGATCTTAAGGAAAGCTGTTGGCATCTGTGTGTCTGTATTACTGTTTGGAAGTCCATTCTTGAAGGTATTTCTTTGTCTTGGAGAGAGCAGGCAGAGCAGGAACTTCGTGTAGATTTTGTTTAATAGGTGCAAGCAATTTTTCAGTTCTTGACCATCCACTTTTGGCTCCTGCACAGAGAAGTTTAACAGCACTAGCCCTGCAAGGTCCTTAAAAGTAGCCTCTGAGAATGCAGGGTCTGCAAGGTTGGGAGGAAAAATACATGGAGCACTTTTCCTATAACAAGAAACAATCCTTCTCCAGCTCTGACTTCATGGCATCATCTTTGCTATCCTCCTTACCCTTGTCCTTTCCTTCCCATGCTTCAAAGCACAGGGTATGCCTGGTGACGACTCATCCCTGTCAGGGACCTCCCACATGCAAATAGAAACCCACACTTTTACAGTTACAACAGATCAACTGGCATGCAGATGCTTAATGAGGAAGTAAGTCAATTAAGTCCCCCTTCCACATTAAATTGATTGTCCATGCCATGCGACTCTGCCTGGCCACCCAATAAACTTCCTGTTCAACGGCTGCCAGAGCATCATGCAAACCACCTCTTCCCTCAGAGCAACATGAATGGCTGCATCTTTCCCCCACATCAGCAGCATTGTGGGGACCATGATTATTGCCTCTCAGTGACTCCTGAATAGACAGCCTCAGTTTACAAGTAAAGCAGAGAGGCTGTGTTTGCTTGCCTTGGAAACACAGAAAGCAAAGCTGTTTTCACTCTTCTCTCTTTCTTTTCCTCCAGTTTGCTCACCAAATGACATCCTGTGCAATACCTGTGCACCTCACTGTCTGCAGCTAACAGGTCGAATAACTCGACCTCTGTTAACAATTATTTTGCTGGTGCACAAGAGCACAGACTGGCTCACTGAGCATTGGTAGCTGTGCAGGGAGAACAGAAGCAAAAGCAGCAAGAATTATTTTAGTCTGTCCAGTCATCAGACTTGATACATAGAGAAAATCTGCTGGGCAAGACAACATGATTTAACATACCCAATTTTCTAAGCATAACTTCACTTAAAATGGAAAAGAAAGATTGGTCTCTCACTATCATGCATGGAAGAGAGGAAAAAAGAAGCAACCCCCTAATAGAGCAAGGCTGAATCAGCCTGTGACTGCACAACTGCTGATGTGGACAGGTGTGCAGGAAGTATGTGCAACCTCTATACACAGGCACATGACCATGTATGTCTGACACCTATATAAACGTATGGTAACCACGCCTGTGCATGTGTTGACTTTCAAATGAATGTATATGAGTGCACACACTCAGACCAGGTGTAGCATGAACATTTTCAACCTGTTCATATGCCATCAGAATTGTGGAAGCTGCTGCCATTGCCACTGCCTCACCTGTATACTCAGGTGCATACACTCCTTTTATGTGTGTGATCACACCCTGAGTGTGCTCTGTGAGAAATGCTTTTCACAGGATGCTGATTGTGCTGAGACTCTAAAGCAGTCACTTGCCTGTTTCCTTGACTCCAAGTCTTTTTCCCATTTGCACAAACCTGGAGATGGAAACTTCACTCTATCAATCACAAACCAGCTCAGAGGTACTTTTCTGAAAATACACAATATCTGCAGTTTATTTTTCAGTTTGGTATGGGGAAAGGGGGCAGGGGTTGTTCAAGCACAGACTTTTTTCTTTGACATGCATTCCATGGACAACTCAGGGCAGAAAGTCTCTAGTCCTTCACCAGCCGGTAGATGTGATGTTGGGCACCGTGGTCACTAGTTGATACTTCAAAAACATATGCTATGCACAGCAAGGTCTCCTGTGTGTCCCTGTTTGTCACAACCTAGACAGAAAAGGAGAAGAAGCTGAAATGGCAAACTGCTATTTCTCTGCTTACATATTCCAACACACTTAACATAAAGCAGAAGGTCAGTAAAAGACAAAGAGCAGAAAAGTGCAGGATTGATACACAGCTTGGCCCACACACCAAAGCACTTTTGCAGCCTCAGAACTACAATGCACTGAAGAGACAGGGAGGTGAGCAGAGACCACTGTGAGGAAAAGTCCACTGAGACCAAGCAGTGATCACATCAGTGGAAGCAGGTCCACCAGGTTCTCTACTTCCCACCCCTGGTGTTGCAGAGGGAAAGTGTTTCACAAAAAAAAAGCTCTTTTTGCTCTGTTTGTTGGGTATAGAGGCCCCCCTGTGGCACACCCACTCCTGTTCACACATATATTGATATATGACAACCACAGGCTGTTGTTTTCCTTCATCTGCTCCTGCTTGTCAATGGCAGACACAGAACACGAGGATTAGAGAGTATAATTCCTTTTACAGGAGACTTCCATACACTGTAGATGTTGGGAGAAGGATTGTTGCTAAACTCATGCATTCTTACAGAAGCTCCTTTTTTCCCTTTTTTTTTTCTATGGTCCCTCAGGACCCTTAGTGTCTCTGCAACGTGACTCTGTCAGCAGCATTGTGAAGGAGCAGTGTTGTCCTAGTTTCTGCAGCATGCACTGTGTGGCAGAGGCAAGAGAAATATTGCTCTCAGAACTCCTAGCTCAGCTTCCCTCTCTGTCACTACACAACTTCGCATATTCTTGTCACCTGAGTTTGTGCCATAGCTAAAGTTCTCTCCTGATGGAGGAGACAGATTTTTATCAGCAGTAGCACAAACTCAACTGCAGAAGAAAACCATTCCAGCTGGAGGCTTGTACTGTATCAAAGCCCAGTTGTTCTTGTGAAAACAGGAAGAAAATCTGTTTTCAAACTTGCTTATTAATTTTAGTGGTCTGATTTTGATCTATTCTGTTTTCTTACTTCATGATTGGATTTGCAGTTGAAGTCCTTTCTTCTGCAAGATGTGGTGAGTTATACACATCCAGGTGTGCTAAGGCACCAGGCCCTTTTCTGAAAAATGGGCTCTGAAATCTTGGGAGTTCTAGATCCAGAGAAATGTGCGAAGCAAGACAAATTATGCTTGTGGGATTTAGAGGTATCTAAGCTCATTAAAGGGTCTAGAAAAAATATAATCAGACTTGCCTCAGAGGTGGTAGCAGGGACTGCGGACTACCAACATGCCTTATTATGTATTTTTCAGTTCCCCAGTGGGGAGTGGGAAATGCTCAGGCTGCTGCTCAGGGAGCAGCACTTTCATCTTGCACGGGACTTCAAGGTAGTGTATGCTAGCACCCACATGGGACATGCCTTCAGTGCCAGAAGATAAGGGAAAGACATGAGATTTCTCAAAACACAAGGCCCCTGAGGAAGTATAACTATGTCACAGCTTTTTTCTTAGAATTTATACGAAATGCTGGCCTGACTGAGGAATGAAACATGCAGAAGGCAGCTACAATGTTCCCCAGTATGGACTACAGCACACAGATCTCCCTGTCTCTGCTCCTCCCATGCTTTTGCTCATCTAAAAGAACTCTCAGCATTTATACTCCTTATTTCTTCCAGATGTTTAAGATCTTAATACAAACCTGAAAGAGTAAACTTCTTAATGCCTTGTGACGTGTATCATTAACCTTGTGTTTTATAGCTGATGTGTCTGAGCCACAGAGCAGTGAAATGAGTTGCCTGCAGTTACCCAAGATCTTAAGAGAATGGAATGAAAACCACTTTGATTTCCAGTCTTTCATACAACCACCAGCATCTCTTCTACTTACCCAGCCTCACGTTCTCTGGGCAAAAATCTGTGATGCCTCTTATAGAGATGAACACAGAATTCAGTCCATTAGAAAAATGCACCTTTTAAGTTGTCTGCCCTCTTCCCAAATTTAGGCTGCAGCTGAGCCTGGAAAGGCTCCTGTTATAACAAAACACTAATGCAAATCTAATTGCTGTAGCCTTGTAATCCTGACCTATCTAGAAGTTGCAGTGATTCAGAAGGTGTCACAGAGCTTCTCCACAACATCCCCCTTCCTTTGCATGTCTCTATATTCTGTACAGGTCCTGAGGAAACTGCTTGCTTTCCACCCTAATATGGTCAGTGAAGAACTCTTCCCAAGAAAAATTTTATAGCCACTCAACAGTGCCCTTGTGGGTTTTTTTACCTTGCAAAAAGGGCCAGGGTACAGAAAGGACCTCAATATTTGTGAAATAGTGGAATAAGCATTTCCTTCACTGACTTTTTCATCATTCCCCTTCCTTTGTCTCTCTGCCTCATGAGCTCTCCCTTTATTTTTCGTTTTATCTCTCTCTCACCCAGGTTTCTCAAATTCTTTTGCAGCTCCTCCGCATCAGTTACTATCTCTAGAGCTCCATAAATGGTCTTGAAGTGCAATAGACATGAAAGACACTAAGTTCAATTAGATGCTGAGCTATAAAAGGAAATCTGCTTTGACTCTCAACAGTGAACTCCTGCATGGTGCTTACATGCTGCCAAGTTGCAACCGAAAACAGCTGAAATTCCCACCTGTAAGATAGTGAAGTTCTCCAGCACACTGTTCATCATGTACTTCTCGGGAAGGTGCTTGAGTTTATGGATGAAGTTGATCATGTATTCGCAGAGAGGGGAGCGGTGGATGCGGTAGGAATAGTGTCCGTTTTCATAGCGTGCATACTCTGTCTGTAAGGCAGAACACAAAAGGGGCACATGGGACTATGCTGGCACACCAGTGACACTATCACAAAAAGGGATTCAGAACAGAAAAACTAGAGTGGCACTTTTAAATAATTTTATGAACCATAGTACTTTGCACCAAGGTCAGTCCTCTTGAGTTCTCCAATTTCTTTGGCTTGATTTCTTATTCTCTTTAGAATGGTGTGTTCCAGTTTCTGAGCATCAAACCCTCAAGGCACTGTGAAAGTGCCAATTGACACCTAGGCTACAGCCTGCATTTCTACTGGACAAACACTAGGTGTGAATAAACTGAAAAGGTTAATAACTACTGTCTTAGCAAGAGCAGGAAATAATGATAGTAATACTATGCTCAGGATGCTTGATAACTAAAAAAAGACTAAAGTCTTCTGGTACCTGTGTAAGAGAACATGGAATTTCTGCCCCCCTCTTAGGAAAGGGTCTGGCCAGTGATACACAGAGGGATTTTTTTGCTCACATTCACACCTTAGCTCTTGTATATTTTATCTGCCTTTGAAGAAACTGAGGCCATATTCTATGATTTCACAGCAGACCCTTAAATACCTGTAACCCTCCTTCACCCCAGAAGCTTGGTCTTCCATGTGCACCATGACACCTTCTTTTAGCCCCTTTATCCCATCTGCAAATACTTAACCCAACTTCAGACATGCCTATCATGTGACTGTAAATGGCTCATGGGAAGGATGCACCTTGAACTGACTGCTGACATGAGAACAGCTGTGTTCTGCACATAGATGCTTCTGGTTCCTTGAGAAACAGGGCAGCAGGAGGCATGTCAAAGTAGCTCTCTTAGCAGCTGAATGTGGCATCAAAAAGAATTTCTTCAATGCCAGTTACATGCATAACCCAGTTATTTGCAGTTTCTGTGCTGCTGAAGGTGTAAGTGTATAACCTCTAGGTCTAATAAAACCATAAGACTATAGTCTGTAAATTATTACAGTCAAATTAATAGCTATTGTCTATAAATGATCTGTTTAAAAACACTGATGAGAGTGAGGTGTTGCTTATATGTTTTCACATTTCTTGACTACAAAACACATCTATGTTACCTAGCTTTCCTTTGCTTCCAAAAAAACCCAAAGAATCGGCAGAGCTAAGAGTCATATGTATTTACATCTCCTCAGAAATTGAGATTTAAGGGAAAAGTAGCAAACACTAGCAGATCTTCAGTGAAATCCTAGGACAAGGCCATTTTGCAGGCTGAGTGCTCTTATATCTATGACATCCATCTCCCTGACAAGAAGTATGAGATATATTTTGCCTTGAGATACAAAGGCAGGATGCAAATACTTGAAGTGACAAAACAGCAGCCAGAGGGAACCTCGCACCCAGGTGTCTGCTCCTTACCTCTACTTTCTCTACCACCTGTTTTCCAAAGGAACACACTTTGGTGGAACAGGTAATGACCATGTTTTCTGGGCTCTCATACTGGCTGGAAACACCATAGAAAGATCTGGATTCATCTTCAATATTGGTATTCAAATCAGCCTGCCAAAAAAAAGAACAAAAAAAATCAGATGGTTATCAATAGATGGTTGTGGCATTTTCTCACCATTAACTTGCATAACCAAGATAGTAAAATATTGGGAGTATCCCCAGCTCCTTAAGCAGACCACTGAGCATTGAGCAAGCAGGGGAAATCTGAAAAATATTGAATAAAATCCTATTTCCACTTCAGAAAATGGTGTGGATTTGCATACACATTGGGGAAATCTGGTGGAATATCCTCCTAACATTAAAAACATATGACATGGCTTGGAGGTACTCACAAAGCATGTGGAGAGCAGACTGCAGAGACAGAGCAGTGCAACAGATGGACTAGACTGGGCTGACTCACCAAGGAAGGAAAATAATGGTAAAGCAATAGTAATAAAGTTTTTCCACCCTAGGAACGTAGGGAAGGGAAAAGAAACAGCAGGGAAAAGGAATATGTGAGTACACACACACATCAGGCTCAGGTACTACGATGTAAAGAATGTAAATAGACAGGATGCAACATAAGGAATGTAGGTTTCTGATGGATCCAGCCCAGTTTCAACTGAATTCAAACCTGTCTCCAGTAGCAGACAGTTTTCAAATGTGGGTGCCTAAGACTGGCCAACTGAAGCCTCCTGTTGGGACACTACTCCTAAAAATCCTGGCTGGCTGAAGCTTCCACCAGGGGTCATTCCAACCACAGTTATGAAACAAGTGGCGGTTTCCTTAAGCTCTAGAAAGACTACGGGTGTGAGGGAATGCCCAGCTCAGCTTCCTTCCCTTCAAAACTGAAAGGGTAGAGCTTCTCTGTGCTCCACAAGCCCAGGTGCTAATTTAGATCAGTGTAAAAGCAAGATCAGTTCCCATAGGCTGCTCCAGAGCATATTATTCTCCCAGCTGAGCCAAGGGAAGAGGAAACTGAGGAGTGTTCCTGCTACAGTGAACATAGTGTGACTAGGACAGCATTAGATGCCATTCTTAGCAGGGTTTTCTTAACCAATGTCAGTGAAGAGATTTTTTATTTGAGATCTAGAGCAGCACTAAATACAAGCAATGTGGTAGAACTGGACCACCACAATAATGAATAGCCCTCTTTCTTTGCCATGCAAAATACCTGTCTCTTATCTGCCACGAGATAATAAATACACTTAGTTTAGTTGTCTTAAGGAGCAACTTTACAAAAGGTTTAGGTCAGTCTAGAAAGTGACAGTCAAGTTTTCTACCCTTCTGTAAACACGTGAGCTTGCTGCTGCCTTTGTGGCACCACAAAAGATGAGGCCACAAAGATTGTCTATTTTCATAGCAACACATACTCAAGTTGGCTTGAGTCTCTTGAGAAACTGCACCTCAGAGTTGTACTTTGATGATACCAGGCTGGTCCTGACCCCAAGAGAAAACAGTCTCACTCTTCCAGAGCAGCTTCCCCATTCCTGCTGTACTGACATACATTTCTGGAGCTGCATTACAAGGCTCTCTGAGGAATTGCTCAGTGAGTTCTCAGTGGGATCAGTTCCCTGGTCTGATTCAGAAACACTTGCATGTGCTCAAACAAAGAATGTGTGTTGGGAGGATAGGTGGCAACAGGGATAGCAAAAGGCAGGACAGCTTATTCTAGTGAATTATTATGGCCATGCTGAAGACCTCGATATTAAATAATTGTATCTATGCAGCTACTTTCCAAAAGTACCTATATTAGAGAACAGCAGTACTACTCCATTCTGGTTTAGGTTTTTATTAACTTACTTTGATATTGTAGTGCTTATTTCCGTGTTACTGTAACTAACTGTTGTTTATTTCACTCACACTCCAATATCTCAATAAAGATTAATTTCCTGCCTTGTCCAGAGAGGAACTAGACTAGGAGTCCTTCACAATATTTTTCAGCTATTTCCCTTGGGAGTGATAAACACAATGTATGGACTCGATTCCGCTCTTCCAAAGAAATTGCCCCACTAAGTCAGAAAGAACAAAGGGTCAAGGCTAGAGAGGCTTGGTCAGGCCACTGCTACATAAACACAGCAGAGATTCTCACTGCAGCACCAGACAAACATTTTCAGGGTCTCACTAGTAAAGTTAAGGTTACATTTTCCAAAAGACTCACTGGTAGAATTAAAAAATAAAAGCACTCAATGCGAGGCAAAGCAGAAAGGTGCTAGTTCCACTTTATGAGAAAGGCTTCACTAGCCCTCAGAAGCCACTCTAGGTTCATCCACACTTTGACAAGCTTCCCATTAGAAGGCCAGACTAGAATTTCACAGCCAATTAACATCCAATTAATCAACATTAATGGCAAAACTATGGTAATACTGTTTGAATTAAGGAGGCATCACCATTCACTGACATTATATACAACCAGGTTCCTGGAAGCCCTGTTGCAGTGGAGCACTGGGATCATGTTGGAAGTCCCTCACATTTACACTGCACTTTTAATTTTAAAGCTTGTCCCATATTGTGGGCTAGGACGGTCAGACATGGAGTGATCAGTCACCAAGAGCTGCGTACCCACCTCCTGTCACATTTGCAGGTCTCATAAACATACACACATGGAATTTCAGCAACTCAGGGAATGACAGTAGCAGCTTGCTGGGGACTTCAGTTCATGTTTGCAGGAGAATGGAGCTGGACCACACCAGACACTGCTGGCCTTACAGTTACAGCTTTTTCACTTATTTACAGCTGCTAGTTCCCACCTTCTCAAGGCACAGTCCCTGTACCAGAGATTATTTAGCACCTGTTTTATAAAATGGCAATGGTGTATATGTATACAAGACAAGGAACAACTCAGGAGTGGAACTCCAAGCTCTCACCTTTCCCTGCTGTGGAAATGATTACCTCTTGAAGGAAGACAAGGCAGAAGATTGAGGAAGAACACTGTAATCTGCATAGCCAAATTAACTTTTAAATGTGAACTGGACACTGGGGTAAATCAGAAAGGATGCAGTTAAACTTCCCATGATTGCATGAGGACAAGACCATAATGACCAGAAGAGCTACTGCATTTAGGTTAACATCTAAAACACTACAGCTAGATTCCTATGCCTAGATTCATGCCTAGATTCCTATGAGCTCCTCACAACACCTAGACCATCAGGACTATATTGTTTCACTAAAGAAAACCTTGTGTCGCAGCACATTCAGTGCTGGAGCGAGCACCTGAGGTGAGCAGAGACAGGTCTGACTTACTGTATCCAGTATACTCCACCCTGAAAAGATGCAAGGAAGTAATAGTGACTATGAGTCAAAGGAAATTTATCTTCCCAGAACTCCATCAAGCAGGAGGCCTAATCTTCACTTTATAGCCTGGGAATGAATAGAATTTTTAAATATGTAACTGGATGTGACTAGAACCCAGGTGCCTCAACTCCTCTCTGGCAAATGCCCTAATATGTCCAACAACAGAGTCCTAAATACGTCCTTTACCCCAACCTAGGCAGCCAAAGGAGACATAGGCAGGATTTAGGAAAGTCTCACTGAGGGGGCTGAGCTGCCTGGCCCCCCAGGCTGCTGTGGGTAGAACTGCGGGGGAAGCAGCAGCATTCAGGCTGTTGGGTGGTGTCCAGCATTCAACAGCTGTTCTCAGTCTCTTTTACAGGCAAAGGTAGAAGATCAAATAAATGAGGCATATTACAAGCTAAATCTGAGTTATGAGCCACCAACTGGACCATGCTACTTTATCTGACTAAGTCAGGGTTCTTGCTTTTTGTCCAAGTTCCAGAAACAAAAACCTGTGCACACTCTGGCATAGCAGAAATCTGATGTGTCTGGGATGTGTTCAACTTGCTGTGCAAGCTCAGCACAGATGACACACTTATCCATAGCTTGTCTGATGACTTCCAAACATGCTGAAACTACAATCACTGAGACATCTGTGATACAGCGTATCTCAGATACTCACATACTGCATTAAAGAGTGAATCTGTCTGCTTGGGGTGAAACATCTGAGATTTCCTCCTTTCCAGAGAAGTAAGCAGAATGTTTAATTACCTAGAAGATTTCTAGATGGAAGAAATTTGCTCCGGGAAGAGCATAGTAGCCCTCCACAAGCTAAAATGCTGCTCTCTCCCCTCCATCTCTGGAAAAGATTCTTTGAAAATTCCTCAGCAATTCAGTCTTTATATCTGCCTTTCGCTGACAATAATCTCTACACTGTTGAACACTGTGTTCACAATTTTGTTGGAAGAAGTGCCATTGGCAGAGTTCCCTTACATAAGGCAGCAATTGGAGGTGGTGCTGGTTGTGGCAGGTGAAATTAATGTGTGCAAAAATCATAAAACTCCCGTTTCTAGCTGCTGTCTGGTTTGCTACCTCAGGAGTACCAAGAACAGAATGGATGTGAAGACCAAATTGTCATTCCTTGCTCTCCAGGCAGTTTCAGGATTGAAAGCATCCAGTGGGCAAAGAAGGGTGCTGAGAGCAATTTGCACTCCTGCTGTTTTGACTGGATTTGCTTGTGACAGGAGAGAAGCCAAGTGCAGGACGGCAGTTTCCAGCCAACCCCTTCAGCACTTTCCCACAAAAGTATATTCCATTTAGCTGAAAGAAGATGCTCAGTGATTTCACTGCCTATCACCAAGAAGAAATTACTACATACATTCTGCATAGGCAGGACAGGGATCCCAAGAAATTCCTCTAATTCATGTCTCTGCAGATGGCTGCTCTGTGCAAAGTACTACCTGTCCTGAATTCCTGGTTTGTCACTTTCCTTCTGTCTTCCATGCAGAGTCTCACAACTTCTGAAAGTTCCAAGATGCAAGTGCACCATTCTAATAGCGTGCAAAGCCCTGAGAACGCCTCTTCCCCAAACTATTAATAACGATCCATATAGGAGGAGTTCACAGGGAGAAGCAAGGAACAGGTGGCAGAGATAATATTAGCCTGGAAAAGAGCAGGGCTGCCACTGCCCATGTGTTGGGAGGCTGATGTCTCACATTCATTGTCGTGTGCTAGAATGCACTTGGAGCACAGAGAAATGTCACACAGATGTCATATACAATTTGCTAACCCAAGTGCAAAAATCAGTTAATAGTACCAAATTTCCAATGCCAAAATCAAGAAAGAATTGCAAACACTGCAACACTGCTTATGTTTCAAACTCATCAGCTGTTAACTCTTAGCTACTGCATAGATCATTTAAAGCACCTTTGAACAAACATGAACATCTCTTTCTCAGTCATACTAGAACCTCAGTGCTACCACAGAGGTCAAGAAATCTCAACCCTGGTGTTTAGAATTAGGCTTCTGGCACACAACAGATCATCTAGAACATTCAGTGGTTACTGTAGCAATGGCAGGTTCATGCCTCAGGTTTTTCAAGCTTAAAACTGCAGATACACAACCAAAACTTACTCATTCCTTGGCTTTTTAAAAGTCTTTGTCACCTCCAACCACAACTCCAACTCAGAACTTCTGAAAAATCAATCATATCTTCATGTCTCAAAACATCCCTTGAAGTATTTAATTCTACTCACCATTTTATCCTAAAATTATGCTATAAATTCAATGGTGTAGTAATTGCTTTATCCAATACATCTTTGAATATCAACAGCATATTTGTCCAGAGCTATCAGGCAGCAAAATGAAAAAGTACCCCAGCACACACTGCTATGCAAGTAAGAAAATGCAGAGGAATATAAAAAATTTCTGCTGAAATCTAATTTTCTTCCTTTTTTGTTTTTAATCATATTTCCTTATCTGTGAAAAGTGTTTGTTTCTTTGTTTGTTTGCTTCTTTAAAGTCTTAGAAGCTTTCATTTAACTAATGACTTGACTTGTAACTTTGCCTATTTCTAAGTGACAAGCTTTAATGTTGCAACCAATAAACCCTGATGTTAACTCCAGATAGGATTCAGCAATGCAAGGGTACCAAAAAAAGAATCAGTCAAAATATTAAACCAAGCCCAGAAATATTTCTGTCTTTGTAAGTATAGAGTTGCAGAGCCCCACCACATTGTGCACACATTGGAGTAAAGATGTTTCAAGTCCTATGTCACATCTCTTTAATCAAGCCAAATTCCAGTGAGCTGATACCCTCTGAACACTGGACACCTCACATGGGAACAGAAAGAGCTTAACTTGATGACATACCACCATCTAAATCTTTCAAAACCCTGATAGAGGTTGGTCTGACATAGTGCATAGGCCACATTTATACTTCTGGTATTAAAAACCAAGTTACCACAATCCCCAAACTGAGCCACAAAAGCAGAAAAGCACACTGTCAATTTTGATAAATAAAACCACAGTTGCTCCAGATCACAATTTCATGACTTCTCTCTCTTTGAGTCAAGGAGTTCAAAGTGTTTCATTCTCTCTATGTAACATCTCCCTCTAATCTCTTCCTTTTGGTTCTTGGAACTTCCAAAGCACAAAAGGCAATCAATACCTTTCAAAGGGTGCCCTGTCAAAGGATAAGCTTCTCAGCAAGGTGCTGTTTTCTCTCCCAGCCAGAACAGAGCTGATGTTTCACCTTTTGTTTTGAGCACCCCAGGCAGGCTTTGTTGTACTTTGCCAGGAGCTAATCCCATGAAGGGCCCAGCTCAGTAGCACAGAGACTGCAGGTAATAAAATTATGTATCCCCAAAAATCATCAGCAACCAATGCTCTAGGCACAGGCACTTGAGAGGAAGACTGCCAGCCAACATTCTCCAACTCATTTCTGGAAAGTCTAGGCTTGGGACAGCTGGGAAGTTGCATCTCAAGGCACTTAACTCTTCTTTCTGAATGCACCAGTCAGGAGGAGGCTTTCTAGCACCACTTTGTATGAAGGGAATGAGATATAAAAGCTCGTTTTTCACCATCTCACTCTGACCTGAGGTTGAATAATGTGGTAAACTCAAGGTGAAAGGCTCCAAATCCCATTACACATTCCCTCAGCCATCTACTGTACAACTGCCCTGAGCTGCTATTATTTTTAATTTTGTAATTCTTATGATAATATCGATCACCAAAGCTATTTTGTTTGTACCTTGAAGCACAATAGCAAACTTTTTGCAAATTTCAGTTAAATCACAAAAATCCAATTGAGTGAGTAAGCTTTTGCCAGGCTGATTTCTGCCGATTTACCAGAAGTCATTTCAGTAATGTATTATCAGCATAATCCAATTTCATTATATGTTTCTCTTATCTTTTCACTCGGCCAGCAGTAAGTATGCATCTGTAAATTATTAGTACTTGGATAATACAAAATGCAGCTACAGAGACAGGAGAAGAGATGGAAAAGTATTGCTTCTGACTGAGGAGTTACACAACACTGAGAGAAGTGAATGCATAAAAGTGCAGAGAATAATTTCCTCTGAATTCTTTACTTATACACAGATAAAAATTCTAGAGGGCCCAAGTCACCATTAGCAAATCTGCAGACAGTAGTCAAGAACAACTCTACAGATGGACAATGTGAAAGACACATCTTGCTGCAGGCCAGAAAGTGTGCCTTGTGGGGTCAAGAAAAGTGACAGTTGTGGCTGAATTCAGTTGCCTACACAGGGAAAAATTTGCTGGGAGGCAGCAGTTTTCTAACAGCCAGCGAGGTCACAGCTTTTAAAGTGAGAAACTTCATAGCAAATGGGTACCCTACAAAGGGCCCTTCTCTTACCCAAAATTTGACAAGGAAGAAGGCATTAGCTGGCCCCCTTTCAAAGAGCTCCTTCAGGCCCCCCTTCTTCTCAGGGAACTTGTCATAGATCTGCCGGATATCCACTGCCTCGAGGTAGGGATCATTGTAGCTGGGGCTTGACTGCCCAATGTGCACAAACAGGTGTTTGTTATACTGCAAGAAGAGGAAAAACACAGCATTAGAAAGTTGTTCAAGACCATTCAGTACATACTGTACATCCATTGTCCTTCACAGAAGACTACTGGAAGTCAATGAAGATTTGATAGCATTTTCTAAAAGAGCAGAAGAAATCAATAGAAATATCTCTGCTAATACCAGCTCATGCTGTTCTTTCCTTCCTATCAATACATTCATGCTCCTTCCTTCTCTGAAACACTGTTGTTGGGTGTTTTCTTCCTGTATTCACTCCTAAATCATTGTCTCGTGCTGCTGCCATATAGTCTGAAATAACCTGAAACACAAAGTGTTACCTGTGACAGGACACTCAGTCCAACATTGATGTTCCTGTCCTATGAAGAGCCTGAAAGCCCACAGCAGATAAATCCCAGGCAAATAAAACTATCTTTTCTGAGCTTTCCTATCTCAGCCCATCACCAGAGCACATCTCAAGACACAGAATCAAAATGTTTAGTGAGAGACACAAATCCTACTACTTCCATTTCATAGGTGGGCACCGTGGAAACACATTGATGCAAATTAATCACAGTTGCCACCAATTTTAAGTTCTCAGCATACCAGAGAAACAAATGGCTTTATGTGATCTTAGCAACTTCTGATTTTGGGTTCTGTATTGGAGTCTATCTAACAAGGCTGGACAGGACAGCCAGAATAGCTTGGCAGGGGCTTATGACCTCAGTGCCTTGGGCTCTGCTGTATGAATGCCCATGACCCTGCACAGGGAGGCCAGAAGCACATTGCACAGATCTGGTTCTATCATACTTATCCTCTAAGAGGAGGGTATCTCCTGTTTCCCAAGGATGCCTTTCTATTCTCTGAAGAGCAATGAAGCGTGTCCATACACACAGAGTAGTATAACACATCCATGATGAACAGGACCTGTCCAAAGATGCAAAATTAATGAGGGGTGGAAGAAAGGTGTGTTTCTTACTGTGTCTTGGTCTTGTTGTTGTTCCAAGAATGCAGAGAACTCTAACATCCAAAGTTTGGAGCTAGCAACCCTTCGTCCTTGCCAAGCTGGTGCTGACGGGGAAGGTGAGAGGCCAGCAGGAGACTCAAACCCTAAGCACACAGGATTTATAACAAAAATTTAGAAAAAAATGGCAATAGCTTTCCAGTTGAGCACCTATTGTCACAGCTGACTCATAATTTTCTTATGGCTTTATTCATCATGCAAAAAATATCATTCACAAAGTCCTCAGTCTACGTGTGCTCTAAATGGCTTGTCAGTCACCCTCTGCTAAGACAGCACTGCTAGGGCTCATGATGTAAAAGACTAGTTACCTGGGTTTGGCACTGGAGAAAACATGTTCAGCAATTTTAAGGGGACTTAGAGCCCTAAAGGAGCAGTGAAATAAACTGTTTAGTATCAGAATGAGATGTCACCATTAATCTCTCAAAATGGGAAAACCGAGAAGGAAAAGATATTTGTTATTCCACTTAATGAGAAATTAGGAATGCAATCACGTTGTGACATGAAGCATGGTGGAAGACCAGTAGATATATGTAAACTTTTAATTTCTGCTGAGCTAGAAGGAAAAAAACCCCAACACAACCAATACAAAACAAGAAAAAAAATTTTGTACAATGAAACAAAATTTAAAAGCTTCAGCTCTCTCAATAAAAGGATGACAGGTAATAAGAGGAAATCATATAAAAATTGGTTTTGGCTCACTGAAATGTTTCAACAGGTTTTGTTTTTTTAAATTAACTTTCAAAATTTTTAGAGTGCTGGCAGTTTTTGACGTTGGAACACAATTTCAAAGGAACTACATTTCCTTACCTACCTGGTATTGGAAGCGGAGTCTGTACAGCATAAGGTTGTTGAGAAAAAGGTTTCACACTACAGAAGTACACAAGAGAGGTGGTTAATAAAAACTCAACCAAACGAAAAGATATTCTTCATCAGCTGTTTGCACAGATAAGATCAAGTATTTCTCCTCAGAGGGAAAGTGGCATAAATGTCTTTTGGAAATTATTTTTGTATGTGGGCAAGAGAGGGTCATGGGCGAAGACTCAGAAAGCAGTAAGGGGCCAGGACTGGACAGATTAAGACATCCCTACAGGTGGTCAGCAAGCCCTCCCTCCAGATTTGTTTTTCTGAGATCCTTATCAGCCTCTTAATACACTGGTGCCCATTTATTTATCATTTCAACTACAAGTAGTTTCATATCTATGCAAGTGGATATAGGTCTGGGCTGGATGCCTCTCAGACTTTCAGGCCCAAATTCAGAGACATTCAACACCCACAAAAAACACAGCTTTCAGGACAGCTTAGCTCCATTTTAACACTACTGTAAGAAAAATGAAGGTCTTAGTGTTTCACAGATCCTGTAATAGCTAATGGTGCTCCTCAGGCAGCAGAGAAAGCAGAAGAAGCACCTGCTCTGGATGCTCACATGAAGGAATACTTACTCCTGGGAAGATCCAGCTTGGCCTGGCAATGGTCCTTGCCAAAACTGCAAGAGAACAGCACATTGGCAAAAGTCACCACTCTTAGGACAAAGATGAAAAGGAAGGCTTGCTCTTTTCTGAGGAAACAAACTGCAAACTCCCAGACCTTTAAAGATGTGAATGAGTTCTCTCTTCCTTCTACATTCCTGGTTTTATTCTTGTGGAGATGCTGACTGGTCTTTTTTTTCATTCCACACACTACTAGAAATTGACCCAAAAGTGATCTTTAATGTTAAATATTATGCATGCACCTTGTCCTGCAGTCCAAGGGTTTCATCATGCTCACTCTCTTGGAAGAACCATTTTCCCCAGGAAACTATTCTCCAGTTCCACTGGAGTTATTTTGACAGAAATCAATGCTCAGCAAATGCTCAGTAGGCCCAACTCACAGGTACGGGGATGCTGACAGACCTTTTGTATAAAGGATTTTATGTAAGGGCCATCTGATCAAAGTGCTGAGAATAAGATTGGGAAATATAAACTTGAGAACGGTTCAGGATGGCCCAAACAGATTTATTCCAAAAAGATGCTGGACCAAGAAAGTGATACAGATACTTAAAAACATTTCAGACAGATGAAAATCCAAAGGAACCAACTGTTCTCTCCCTTGTATCATTAAAAAAATACCCATAGTAAAACTCTATTGTTTTACATCAGTGTGAGCAAAGAATTGGACAAAACTGTTGTAGCCACATGACACATTTATTCTACAGAGATAATGCCTTTTGGCCCATTCTGTCTCAGTTCTTAGGCTTTTTCAATATCCTTTTAAATACTAGAGTATTCTCAAAACTCCACCAAAGCACTGATCCACTCACCCCAGAAACAGCAGGGTAGGCTGGTCGTGGGAGACCCGGCAAGGCCATTTTACTATGGAAGGCAGTTGCAGAGATAATCTGGGCAGATGACATTGTAGCCATACTCTGCATGGCTTTATCTTTAGCTGCCTGATCCTATGAACAAGAGTAGAAACAGAGAAAACAGGATTATTATAATGATTAACAAGTTGCCAGCTCTAATGCTCTATATAACCAGAATTCTCATCAGCTCCTCTGTCGGGAACAAGCATCTCTGAAATTCTAGGCAGCAAATTCACCAATAAGTGTCCTAAGAACTCTTTAAAGCTGTAATGCTGTCACTCATTACTATAGCTTCAGATGTGAATAATCATGCTTTCTGAAATTCTGGTTTAAAGAATGCTAAGCATTTATCCTTTCTGTCTGAGGGCTTTCAACCACACAGCTAAAAAAGTTTTGTTGTGGAAAGTACACCCCTTGTTGACTTCTGTGTTTTAATAATTGGTAAGAATATTCAATGGGAAAGGTTCTTGATTACAAAAAAAAAACCCTCAGAGGAAAAGGTCAGAAAAACAAATCATCATCACTGCAAAAATGGCTACCTCAATTTGGGACTGCATTAGTCTCAGGTAGTTTATAATTTTATCCCCATCTTCAGGGAAACTTTAAACCTTCATCATCTCTAGGCCACATATGCAGGGAGATTCCTTCTTGTATTTTAACAGGACTGTAGATTTACACACATTCTTACAGGCAATGACAGCGCTACAATTAGTGGGTCTGAGGTAAATATAAAACAAATAGCATTCTTCATTTCTTCTTTCAAGGAATAGATAGGCAAACAGAAGCACTTCCCCACATTCTGCCTTTCCTCCTACATCCCCTACAATTAATCTTCATCCTTCAAATATTCCACATTTATCTGTGTCGTTATAATTACCACGGGAAGCTCACAGATTAATTCATAGCTTGAAGAAACCGCTGAAAGAGGTACAACAGCCCTTGCTGTCTTCTTCAGGAATTCTCACTTCCCACTTGCATTCACTGAACTGCAGTAAATTCTTACCCTTGGGCCTCCATTCTTTCTAACCCCTCCAACTTATCTAAGGTTTTCTAAAGTTCAAAGACCAAATATCCAAATGTGTCTAGCAAAAAAAAAAAAAAAAAAAACAGGAGAGGCGTCATCCTCAAAAATCTCCATAATAAATGTTAATGTTCAAGCAGAATGATCAGTAGAAATGGGTAAGACTTACACTTAATCTTCTTTTTTAGAGCATCTGTGACTCCTGTTAGTACCATTCAAGTGAATGGAAGGGAAACATTTTAAATGCTGAGAAAGTTCCTAATATTCTCCAAAGCTATGAGAAATGTTTTCAGAATCCAGTTTAACTTATGCCTTAGGGAATAACTAAAGGATTACCTACATTTTTGAAGGGAAATCATTACTTTCTGGCTTTTTCTTTATGTACATAAGGACTACTTCCCATGTGCCATTGCAGAATTGGATATTTTTCCTTCCCTTATTTTCTCACTGGAAAAACTGTATTTGTCTACCCGAGTTTATACATGAGTTTATGCAGAGGATGCATTTACTTGTGGAGGTATTAAAAGTTAAAAGAAAATGTAAAATAATTAGGGAAGGAAAGTATTTTACCTATAAACCTCTGTTGTGGTTTGGTTTTGTTTTGTTTTAATGCTTGACAGACTGCTGGAAGAGCATGTTTTTAGAAAATACATCTCCTTTCTGTTTCAGCTAACAGGTCTGTGTTCATTTCAAGTGTTTTCCAGTATAAAATAAAAAAAGAAGAAAAAATAAGGAAAAAAGGAGTGACAAAAACTTTTACCAAACATTTGCAATGTTTGCATTTTCTTTTATTATTCTTAAAACACATAATAATGATGATGGTGATTATAATCATACCACCACGATTTCCCACTTTTTTCCTTAGTGCAGATAATATTTATTAGCTACCCAGGACATGGAAAAACTACTGACTTTTGGGAACAGAGTTTTCTTCAAGTTTTACCCTATTTTCCAGCTCTATCTTTTACAGACACATTTAAAAAAGGCACCCCAGTTTGTGTGGAGATGGAAACATTGCAGTCACTACTCTAAAAAGCCATCATGTAGCTGCTCTGATCTCTAGGATATAAAAACAAAAACGTGCACTTGCTTTAGAAAATGAACAGTGATGGGAGAACACACAGCTGTCAGCAGGACCTTGGAAGAGGGGCAGCAGTTTCTGTGATTTCATTTCCTTGCTCTATGGAAATGTCCAGTGAAAGCAAAGAAGTAAATGAGCTGAATCAGTGCTCCCGACTTGCCACTGCAGGCGGAAAGGAACAGCCTGGTCCTAGGGAAGGGTTCTCTGCAGGCAGCTGGGCAGAGCTCACAGCATGGCCTGGGTGGTGTAAAAGCACAGCAGCCAATGGCTCCATGGAGCTCCCCAAGACACCTTCGCTCCTCGAGAACAAAACCAGCCAGCTCCTGTGAGCTAAGTGGAAACAGGCTCGGCTGACTGGCTTTTCAATCATGCCCAACCCCAGAGCTGTGACACACAAGGAACAGAATCAAGGTTACAGATGTAAGCAGCAGTGAGGCTTTTAACACCCCGGGCAGTTGTTGTTTCCTGCTCGCTCTAACTGGCCTCTCCAGCAGGCCTCCACCTGAATTGACCACTTAACAGCACCACAGGTTTCAAGCTTAGGCAGCCCTACCTGGGTGCACTGAATTAGATAGTTGTAATTTGTGCCTCCTTCTCTTTATCAGAGCAGCTGGAAACACAACAGGCTAATAAAAGACACAGCACAGCTTTCTAAAATGGGGCTGGGATGTGGGGGGGAGAGGGGGTGCTGTCATGGCTTAGAGGCAACCCCTGCTTGCAATAGAGCTGCATGCACGTCAGCACTGGGCAACACTGAGTGCCAACAGCTCACACACAGGACATCCATTTGCCCTGGTGCACAGCGAGGAGCTGCCCAGGCAGCCAAGAGGAAGCACATGCTAACAGCCATGCCTCAGCAGTCAGGGACAGACTGGGCTGTCACAGTTATTGTCACCTGAAGGATGGAAGATCAGGGAAGCAAACTCTCTTCCTTCCAGATTACTTATGGCCATACCAAACAGAAAGGTCAGCATTCACCTTCCTTCTCTGGCTGTCTCAATGAAACATAACAAGGCTCAGACCTCACATCCTGCTCAGCAAGCCCTTTCTGGATAGCTCACATTCTAACAGGGGACAGACACCCTCTTCTGCAATTGTCACATACAAACTTGACCTTCTCAACATTTCTGGCAATTCAGTCTGAGCACATAAACCATTTCCCCACATCAAATCTGAGTGGAAATAAATGTCAAGAGGTTCATTAGGGGGATCTTGGAGCTTTTCCTATGGAAAGGAAAACACAGCTTTGCTCAAGCAAGTATTCAACCATTTTCTCTTTCTTGTTAGCTCCGGCCTCTTCAAATCAGGTCTGAATTAATCAAGGAGCAAAGTCTATTCAGTTGGCACCATTTTACCTGAAAAGATGCCAGCTAGCTTTTTTGCTTCCCCTCAGTGGACAACCCCACATCACTACCTCTAGTAGAGGTGGAGCTGGTGCTCTAGTAACTGTAAGGCCACCTTTTCCCAAGTCCACCACAACATCAGTGACTGCTTACTGGTCAGCATTTGGAACCATAAACCCTTCCTGCTCTGGTAAACACTTTCTGCACACTCCTACGTCTTAGTGTTGTTCAGATTTGAATGACAACAGCATAAACTGGAGGTAGAAATAAGACACATGAAATTCAAAAAGTTATTGTTTCTTTATTCTTTAAATAGAATTGCTCCAGACGTCACAGAGCTTCAACAATAATGAATGTTTGCACAACATTTCCTGGGAAGAACCTTTTCCTCTCCTGCTTACTACAGTTCAGTGACTAATCTCAGGCTTTTTTAAGGCTATTCAAAGAGGGAATAGCTGACTTGGAGGGGCTTGTGTGATATGCTAAGGGATATCCGTCATACCTTGAGCTTGGCTTGGATCTCTCTAGCTTTCCGCCTTGCCAGGACCTGGATGTGACTAGATACCTGCATTGAAAGACAAAATTCCATGCTCATTCCAGAGGAATACTTGGTAGCCTCTTGTAGAAGTAAACATGCTTTAGGCAGTTATTTAGGGTTGGGGGTAGGAGGGATTGGGGATAACAATAAGCTGCTTTTCAGAACATAACCCCAGTGCCATGAAATAGGGTGGAGGGCTAGCCAAAGTTAGGTCATCTACAGCAGGTCTAGGCTGCTCAGTGCTTTTTCCAGCACAGCATGGATATTCATTCCCAAAGTACAAAGATTCCTTTTTCGTCTCATGTGCCAGGTATTTTCAAAATCATCATTGCTGTCTTGTCTGCTTGGGCTGAACAAGGAATCTTCATGCAGAGAACCACTGGTGTTCCCTGAAACACTCATCAGTAGGCCAAGCAAATAAAATCATGCTATTTAACATTGGAAAAATTTGTGGGTCATGATATGATTGGCAGACATGAGCATTACAAATCTCCTGTAAAATGCCTGATCTGACTCTTCCCGCCGTTCTTATTAACCAGCTCAGCACAACAACCTCCTTCCAGAGAAGTCAGAAACCACCAACAAGTGAAGAGCAAGAAATTTGTTCTCATTAGCCCCCATAATATCTAGAGGTCCAAAGAAGCTAATCCTTACAGGGAAAACTGGACACTTACCTGTTTCCTTGTGCGTGTTTTCCCTGTTCTCAGCTTAATATAGCGGGCAATCAACTCATTTCGGCCTGGAACAGAGAAATAATGCAAGTACAAGTTCAGAAAGCAACGATCCCAGCAAAAAAGATAGGTAATTCCATTGTGTATCTACAGAAATCAGCAGCAGGATGATTCTGTCACACTCCTTTCTTAGAAAGGAACTTATTAGTGCACATGGTAGAAATCTGAGTTTTAGGAGCAGTCTCCTATAACATCTCCACAGGCAAACTGACAAAGTTTGGGCCAGATAATTGGACTAGGGACTTGATGGAAATTGACTGAATGAATGGATGGGGTCCCAGTTGACAATGAGCTGACAGTGAGGAAGCAATGCACCCTTATGGCAAATCTCAGCTGCCAACAGGTCAAGGGAAGTGATCCTTCAGCTCCACTCAGCACAGCTGAGGCAACATGTGGAGTACTGAGTCTAGTTCTCGCCTCCTCAGCATGAGAAAGGTGTGAACACACTGGAGCAAGTCCAGCAAGAAGTCAGCAAAAATTCTTAAGAGACTGAAGCATCTGTGCTATGAAGAGAGGCTGAGGGAACTAGGTCTGTTCAGCCTGGAGGACTCAGAGGCAGTTTTTAATCAATAATAATAAAATAAATTACCTCAGGCAATGAAGGGAAAAAGGTACCCAACCCCTCTCAATAGTGCCCAGTGATAGAACAACAAACAAATTAACACATATGAAATTCTGTCTAAAGCAATTTAAAAAAAAAAAAAAAGGAAACACACAACCTTTTGTTACTCTAAGGGTGGTTAAACATTGGCACAGGCTGCCCAGAGAGGCTGTAGTCTCCATCCCTGGAGGATAGACACAACCTACTAGACACTGCTTGAGCAGCAGGGCCGGACTAGGCAATTTGAAGAGATCCCTTCCAACCAAAAGGAGCCTGTCATTCTGTGTAACTAAGTCCAAGAAAATAAACAACAGTGGGGAAGCACATGGAAACAGCTACACAGAATTTATCAGTGTGATATGATACAGTGAATTACAAGTGCTTTCAGGCTCCTGCAGGCAGACTACCCAGCTTTATTACACTGGCTCCCATGTATCACGTCTAAGCAGTCACACAGATTTTATTGTCTTTCTGGAGGTGAAGAAATTAAGAGCAGAAGCAGAAAGGCAGCAGTTATGCATGTGAACTCTAGGCTGGTTCAAAGCAGAAAACACGACAGAAAAAGAGCAAGCTCTGCAAAATAATACTTATGTGGTGACCACAGTAGTATCAGGATAGTACTGCAATAAATACTGCGAGTAGGAGCTGCAAGGCTGTGAGAAATCTTGATATGGCTGGAAGTGTTTGCAGAATGAAGCAGGAATGAACTGGGAAACAAAGCCACAGCTCTTGTGAAGTTTATTTATAATGAAATTAGAAAACCCAGTATTGTCTGCGGAAAGTTTGTGGGCAAAGAACTTGTATATTAGGGCATCACAGACATCAAAAGGTAAGCAGTGAAATCAGCATTAAACTATCAGTATTAACTATTCCAGTAGTTCAATATTCCATGAAAAAGCTGTAACTTGTTTTTATTGTAAACTTATTTCACTCAACCCTAAAATAAAGTGCATACAGGGAAAGACTGCTGAAATTTACCACTCAAGCCTTTAGGGAAGGACTGGCAAAACCCTTAATTCCATCTGTTTCTAAAACAGAACAATGCAAATGTCCATGACTGCAGTTGTTCACAAAACACAACCAATGCACACATAGGGATGGGAAAGCATTTTACATGTACAGATCTTAATCTTTCCCTAATGGTGTCATTGTAGCAGCTCCCCTTATTCCCCCGGGAGAAGAAACAGGTCAGTAGCTGAGAAATCAGCTCCAGCTCCTGTAAACACAAATTAGGAACCGTCTCTGTGCCAGAAACACAATGCCCTGCCATGTAAGCACTGACCTCTTCAGTTCCCATAGTTTCTGCTTTAGCACAGTGAGAGTTTGGTGGGAGCAGATGCTGTTCTGCCACCTTCCACCTGGCTGCTCTTCCAACCCATGTAAACCATTTTCACAAAGCCGAGACCAATTACTAGCGACACATATCCACACCATCTTCCTCTAGAGCCAACAGTAACATTTATGGCTTCTCAAAGCTTCCATCTGTTTAGACATGGATCCAAGCTGAAAGGTAAGAAACAATAGACAGATGCCAACATACAAGAAATTTTGGAAGGACGGTTTGACACACATCAGAAATGGGAAATGTGCTGAACAAAATAAGGCACTCGATCCCTATTATCTATAAAGAAAGTAGAAGGAAAATTTTTGTTTCAACAAGACGACCCTTTGAGACACAAGGGGAATGAGTTAAAGGAAAAGAGAGGAAAAAACAGCCTTAAGAAGAAGTGGATGTGGTGAATTTCAGGCAAGCTTTTAAAGGGTATATATTAGGCTATACTGAAAACTTAAACACATGGGAACTCTCCAGACACTGGCTCAATTATGGGTCATCCTTGCAAAACTATTTTCAACGGATTCTCAACCAGATACAATAAATTTTATGGAGCAAATTCATATATATTGCGTGCCAAATTAAGTAAAGAAATTACAGAGGCTGAACAGTGTGACAGAACACCATTCTGCTTTAGTAGTAAGGGGCTGCAGGGGTAATGGGTATGCGAGGATGCCATGAACAGCTCTGTGCTAGTCACAGTCAATTCCAGCCACCACCAAACTGGATGAAAATAACAATCAATCCATCAAATCCTCAACCAGTCAGAGGACCACAAGCTACCTTTGCTTGTATGTATTTTGGGAAGGGTGAGAGCCAGCAGGGACAGGAGACACATGAAGAGACACAAAAGGAGACATGAGAATGCACAGGAAAAATACAAGATATGTAAAAGGATAAATACGGAGAAAAGGAGACGTGGTAGGGGACATTGCTGGGGGTGTGGCTGGAAAAGTAATCTTGGAAAAAGTTGCTCCATGACAGAAGAACACTGAGGCAACTGCAGCACCCAAAGCAGAGCAGAGACAATTCTGAAAGGACTGCAGCCCATTGAAAACCCATGCAGAGATGAGAAGGAGCTAGAAACAGGGAACACCAAAGGGGAAACAAAACAAAACGAGAAAAAAAAAGCAGGAACTGGCAGAAAGAGACCTTTACACAGTGATGCCAATCTCCTGCGTCACCCAGCACCTCATCAAAGGAATTAAGAGGGACAGAGTGTTAGAGAGAACAAAAGAAGGGAAACAGAGTAGGAAGCAGGGAGGAGAGACAATAAACTGTAGTCAAGCCTGGGAAACTGGGAGGTATTTCCATAAGTGTGCATTTAACTGTTTGGCTTTGACAACATCAGCAGCAAAAATTGCAAAGTTCTCTCAGGCCATATACTTCACCAAAAAAGACTAGTGAGAGGGGAAATTGTACAAATTGCAGATATTAGATGCCAGTACAAAAATTCTCCAGAAAAAAACTCTACACAGAGAGCATTTAATTGTGGATCATCAAATTTCCAGTTTGAGAATTCACTTCCCACGTGCTAATATCTCACATACAATCTTCCTATTCCAGAAGTGTGTCCTCACAGACAGGTTAAAACAGAAAATGGCAGGTTACACTAAGCTAATAACATACGGGGAGCACAAAAAAGAAAAAAAAAGGGAAGAAAACCCAAACAAACAAACAAAAAAACCCCAACAAACAAACAGATCACTCTACAAAGACATTCATCACAGAGATTACTAAATATAGAACTATGTAAATTGCCAAGCCCAGTAAACTGCAGCAAGGGAGTATTAAATTACCATGAATCAAAACTGCAAGAGAAGCAAATCCTAAATGTCTTTTGTTTCTTATCAGTAGTTAGATGTAAGCAGGTAATATGTGGCTGGAAGTCTGTAGGCTCACAGGCTCTGGAAGGCACCCTCTTTGTTTCACAACCCTGGCTGCAGGGTCAGCAAAGACCAGCACTGCTCACTTGGCTGGAACTGGCAGAGCTGTCATAAACCGTCAGATGGTTCATTTTTTAGAGCCATGTAAAGTGTCCCTCAGTAATCTGATCATATGTTGTGTTCTTAGAATAACTCCCGCTGAGGTCTGCCACGGTCACCAGAACCTGCCAACAGTTGTGACTCCTCTGTCGAAACCGCGCGTCGGGTTTCAAGGAGCTCCAGCCAACATTCCAACTGTGGCACAGAACCTTTATCCTCCATGGAGCCTTCTCCTTGGAAGCATGGCACGAAAAAAAAGCAGCCAAGAGATATTCTTTTATGTTCTATATCTCTCATTCTAATCAGATACATTTCCAAGGGCAGCAATTTGGCTCCCATTAAGTCTTACACTAAATTGCAAAAGCTTGCCTTCAGTAGTTATGCAGAAAGCAATTGCTAAGAGAAGTGAATAAGAAGGCTTTTGGATTCTCCATTCTGCACCTGTGCAACTTTGAATATAACTGCAGAGAAGTGTCTTCCTGATGAGGGATAATTGAAGGGAATTCCCATCACCACAGAAAGCATTTTCCAGTCCTACCTCAAAGTTCATGCTGACTTTCTGTTAGTAGAAATTTTTCTTCCTCTCATAACCAGTCTCTTTAAAACTTATACTTCCTCACACACCTGTTGCCAAAGAAAGTGAGATCAAAGAATTCAGTGATTTCTGCAAAATCCTTTCAGTGGGAAATGGCAAGGAAGTGCCTGTTTCTTGGTAGATTCTGTACCTTTCTCTACCCAAAGCAAACATTTACAACTACCTATAAGTAGTTCTGTAAGAGAAGCAACTATCCAGCTATATCTAGTGAAAGGTTTATCCAAGCAATAAGATGGCTTTAAGAAAGCCATCTCAACTCTCATGTCAATCTCTTTGGGTCACTTAATGATCTCTCCTGGGACATTACTATCTCCTTGAACTTATTTAATTAACTATTGGTTACAATCAGCATCAACATAATGAACTGTGTGCATCAGACAAATAAATCTAGACAAAAGAGGGAAGGTAAGGACACCTCATCGATCCACCAAATGTCAGTGTTTCTCTATGCATACAACACAAAATGAACTGCCAACCAAGCCTTACCAGAAACA